CCCGAAGACTAGTCGCTTGGCAACGGCCGCGCCCGCGTGTAAATAACGCTACTGCGCATGCGCTAGACTGTAAGTGTAGTCGCTAGGCAACAGTATTGCTTGGGTGTAAACAACGCTAATGCGCATGCGCGAGGCCGTCAGGGTAGTCTCTGCGCATACGTTGATTAAGAACTGCAGTTCCCAATCGCGGTCGCTAATGGCAGTAGCGAGCACGAAGGAAAGGCGCGCGGAGGGCGGAACCATAGAGGGCGGCCCCTCCTGACGTTGTCCTGCTGCTCTCGACGTATCCGCGCCCCTCGCAAACATAACCCCGCCTTTCTGGACGTAGCTCCGCCCCTGCCGACGTAACCCTGTTCCTCACGCTGTAACCCCGCCACGCCCTTCAGGACGTAACTCCGCCGCTGTCGATGGAGCCCGGAGAGCAGTTTCTCCGAACGGCCGACTGTGGGGTTCCGCAGTCTGTTTGTGCTGCCGGGATGTTTTCTCAATGGATTTTCGCTTCTTCGGGGCACGTCTAGGTCATAGAGTTGCACCGGAAGACACAGTGTAGGGTTGGGTAGTCTGTTTGTGCTCTCGAGAAGTCATCTCAATGGTGTTCTGGTTCTCCGGTATTACTTTAGTATCGTAGAGTTGTACTGGAAGGAAACTGTATGGTTTGGTAGTCGACTTGTGTTGCCGGGATGTCTTCTCAATGGTTTTTCGGTCCGCACCATAGAGTCGCTCCGGGGTGGCTGACTGGCCATTTCGCGGCATGTTTGTTCCGACGGCAGATCGTCTCTATGGTTTTTCGGTCCTGCGGGGCACGTTTCTATCATGGAGTCGCTCCGGAGAGCCGAATGGCCAGTCTGAGCTGCCGGGAGGTGTCGTTTGTGGTGTCTGGGTTCTGATTTGTTTAATTATGGATTTTATGGGGTTTTTTTTAATTTATGTTTTGTTTTGTTTGTATTTTTTTTGTTTATGCGGCCTTTTTTTAATGTTGTATTGATTTTGGTGGAGTTTTTTATTTTGTGGTTTATGTTTAGTTAGGGATGGGGGGGGGTATTCTTAAATTTTTTGGTTCTTTTTTTTGTTGTTTAAAATTTTTATTTTAATTATTTTTGACCTTGGGTTTAATTAGCACTTGGTCAGTGGAAAAAAAAATTGCATGCAATTTGCATGTTTAATAGATCTGCATAATTGGGTGTTATTTAATTTGTATTTTGATTATAGCATGTTCAGTAGCTGTGTTTATAGTTATTCATGAGTCAGGTGTTAGGGGTCAGTGTGGGGTTTTTTTTATTACTAATTTGTGTTTATGTAGTATAAGTAAAAGAAGAAAAATAATAAAAGGGTGGTGCAATAGAAAATGGCATGCTCTCTGGGAATAAGGGGTTTTATATAAACTTTAATTTTAGGAAATAAGGAAATTAATCTCAGATAATATTTAATAAAATTTTATTTACATAACCTTTTTAATATTAAAATTACCTTTAAATTCTACTAAGGAGTAGCATGCATACCATAATAAGCCCTCAGAGCAATAAATGATTTGGTTACAAGGCTACAAACATTCAGAACACACCACTCATTGGGGCATCCCAAAAACAGTTCCTCACTCACACCTCATCCATTTGCCCTCACCACACCACTACCTCTCATCAATAACATTTTATTTAAAGAAACTAACTAAAACCGTAAAGAAAAAAATTACCAACACACCCTCACAACCCCACAAGCGCCTCAGGAACCTTGTTCCCTGAGGCCTCCAATATCGTCCTGCCTGCAAAAACCCCAGCCCCGGCCTGGCCTCCGTCCAAACACCAGCGATGAACATCACTTCGCAGAGCACACACAAGCATCAGGATGAAAACTAGCCTATTTCCTTTACCCACCCAAAGACGACTGTTCCTAGACACCCTCTCCCCTACCCTAACTTTAAAAGCCCTCCCTGCAATTCCCAGACCTTGCCCCCTCCTCTCAGCCCCTCCCTGGCCCCGATACCACAATTTAGCTTCCAGAGGGCCAGGGGCCCCAATCCATCCTAAACGACGCCACATCTGCTAACTGGCATTTTCCTCCAGTCACCAGGTTACTTATTGCCATCTGCAATTAAAAAAAAAATAAACAATACCAGCATTAAGCATCACGCTGACGAACACCGACCTCTTCCACAACATTCCCTTCTTCCAAAGGGCCGTGGCATTCTGCGCTCACCTGTTCATTCCACGGTCCCGTACTGAGGCTGACATCACTTGTGGCACCTAAGATACCAAGAGACACAAAATTATTCTTGTGCTCATGAGAAATCAACAGCCCCATCATCCTGCTTGCTCCTACTCTGGCTCACCTCAAATGCTTCTCCGATTCCAAAGGCTGCCTGCACAGTACCTGCAAAACTAAAGAGAAACGCTTTGCTAAGTCTGACATTGAATATTCTGTTACAAGTAACACCAACCCCAGCCCACAACCACCTCACCTTCTCAGACCGCTCCTCGACTTGCGGCTTCGCCCCTCTGAGGCTGCTTGCGGCCTTTTCCAGGGGTGGGAAAGCCTCCAGGCAGGCAGATTTTGAAAGTTTCCCCATTCTGTATCACAATGAAACCATGATTTCTCAAACAACAGGAAAGAAAAGACCATCTGTTGGTCAAAGACCAAAAAGCAATAGGACACTTGCCTGGGAAGTTATGAGAAAGTTTTCACTATTTGCTTTGTCTTTCCAGCTTGGCTTGTACTTAAACCTCAGCCTCCTATCACAGGTAAGTGTCCTGGTCACCAAGGCTCTGAGCTCTTCTAGAGTCTTTTGTCTTTTCCAATTGTACCTTGCTGATATAGGAAGGGTAAAATGGAGGGACATTGTATATCTCAGTAACTGCAGCATCTCAGTCTTTCCTTATGGCTGTAGCTTTTAGGAAAAGCTCTATGCTAACTCTGAGAAAGCTTCCCCTATTGAAATCACCATGTGAATCCCCAGCATGTTATCTTTCCTGAAAGAAAGTGGAATACAGATCATGTTACATGTTCAAGTTGGAACCCTGAGTGCCTTTTTGTGTGACATAAGAAAGACACAGAAATATTCTCCTATTTGTGTGCTGCCCTGATCTTGTTGTTCCTGCTGGACAGTGGTCTGTACTTAGCTGAGTTAGGTTTTTTGTAAATATGAGGGTTAAAATGAATAAATGGTCTCTGACTAAATATTTCACAGTTAATTACTGCAGAGTCACAGTATAGCTCCAAAATAGAAAGCAGAGGATCAGCATGTGACTGTTCTTTCTGCCTTCCCAGCAAGGCTTCCGTTAGAAGCAAACAGCAGCTGCAGATAAAAATAGAAGGTGATAAGCAACTAGGATTTTTAGTTAAACGCAGAAGTCACTCTCTATGACAGCAAGGAGTCCAGAGCAACAATGAAGTCTCTCCGATTCATTAGTGCTGAAGCACTCGTCTCAAATGCAGAGTTTGCCAGGAAGAGTCTCAGCAGTGTTGCCCATAATCTTTTTCCTCTTCTTTTTAAAGCCAGCTATTTACTGGAGCAAGGGGAAGTGATTCATGACTTGGTAGAGAACTGGCCGCTTGCTGACTTTAACATGGGAAAACTTTTGGGAACTACTGTGGACTACCAGGAAGACTTGAGCCATAGAACCTGCTCAGTGTGTTTGGAAAGCTGTCTGACAGGGCTGAGAGACTATGTGCTGAATCATGCTTCTCCATACGTGAAAAGGTTGAAAGTGGTGGACCTGACAGGTATGAAAGATGTTGAAGTTCAGTTCTGTGAGTGTAAGAAGACAATGGGCAGGTGGGGCAGGACACATCTGCTCTCCAAGCTTTGTTTAGAGCTGCTAGTTTACCTGCAACAAACAGAGTGCAATCCAGGTGCCTCTGAAATCAGTATCGATGTGCTAATTGACTTGTTTGTTACAGAGCGGAACTATGACCTGGTAGTACAGGCCCTGCTGAAGAAATGCTATTGTCCACTGAAGATCTGCTGTCCGGCATTCAGATCTGACAACCTAGCTTTGCAGAAATTCTTCTTCATCATTAAGCTCACGGATCCCTCTTTGCTGCGCAAACTGGAAATAGTTCACAATGTTCGCTTGGAAATGGAACACTTGGAAATACTCTTCAACAGTATCCACTTCCCTCTATTGATGTCCTTGACCTTGCCAGCACGAACATTTAACGTGCGGAGGTTCACAGCTGCAGATGAACGGATGCTTACTAACATTGGAGAAAAGATGGGTGAAATGACACAGCTGACTGAGCTGAGTATGTCCTTTTCTATACTCACAGGAAGAATACAGAAACTGCTCAGGTAACTCGATCACCCAGCTTTCAGTCAAACTAAAAACCAGCCCTTTGTGCCGTCAGCAAGCTGAGAATCTCTGAGAATAAGGGAAGTGAGTATATCTCAGGGTGTGTGTGAGAAGGGGTGGCAGGAAGCTAGGAAAGAGTATTTGTTGGAGAGAACTGGAAGCTATATATCTAATATATATCTATCTAATGCACGTGGAGGAACTGACTATTCTTATTAGTCTTCCAGAGCCCATCTGACAAGTATGATGAGAATACACTTTTGGCTACCACATAAGAGCAGGGCACACCTAGATATTTTTCATTTACCACATTCTCAAGCTTATATCTCAACCAGCTTGGGCTGGCCTACCTGAGTCATATTCCAACTATATTTTTTCCCTAAAAAACAGGCAGTAAATATACTAAGATTCCACAGATACTATATTTTTAGATGGGCAGGGGGGATAGTAGACTTTGATTTGAAACTTCCATTTCAGTTGTTTGTTGTGTCTGTCAATCTCAAGGCAAGAGAGATCTGATATTTTTCTGTACTGCAAATAAAGCTAATATATGAGCATTTATTATGAATTCCTGGGAAAAACTGGCAATTCTAAAAAAAGATAACAAGCTGCCAGTGAACACTGTTCATATTTGAACAGAAAATAAGTTAGCTGTATGCTTTTCAGAGCATCTAAAAAAAGGCAGACAAAAGTTTCATTTAGATAAATTACTTTGTTCTAAAATTCCTCCTTTACAAAGAAGTAATTTCATTTAGAAGTTGTGAATGCCACAATGCTGCTATTGATTTTTCTATTGAAAAATTACAAGTTTCTAACTTTGATTCAGCTGAGGTCTGTGGCAGAAATCTCACTAAGATTTAGTATGTATGAAAGGGATCTCTTGATTTTCATCCGTCAGAACTATTTTATATTCAACTAGAATATTTGCACAAAATCTCGGGTACACTTCTAACGGTCATCAGAAGGTCTCTTTGCAACTCCAGAACAATACAACATGTAAACCTCTTGAGCATTTAAAAGCATACAGTAGAAACAACCCTAGAAGCAAAAGCAGATGTCTTGTTAGAACACTGATTGGCTTTCATCTTGGGATGAATCTCTGGAATTCTACAAGAAGCAGAGACCAATGCTTTTATGGTAGTAATGATCTGCTATTAACTCAGCAGGTAAGAGACACCTGACAACATATAGCTGGTTACAAAATAGACACATAGAACGTTGCCAAATTAATCCCCATTAAAACAACACAGCTGAAGCCAGGTAAAGTAGGAGTTAATTCATGGAACTGATTTCAGGAGGAAAACATACTTGTCGTTGGAACATGTTTCTGTTTCTCAAAAGAGGTTAGAAAAAATAATGAATGGGGCAGGTGGCTATATTCATAATGTGCATAGTTGTATGAAATTTTGTAAATGTAGCTTTTCAATGTTTTATGCCATAAAACTTTTTTATTTTTAATTCTGCAGCCCACTAAAAACTCCACTGAAGATGCTGGATGTTTCTAACTGCTCACTGAACCATGCTGATATGGCCTATTTAGCCAATAGTTTCCATGCGAATCACTTAGAAGTGCTGGACCTGAGTGGTCACGATATACCTGACCTTTACCCATCAATATTCTTTAAGCTTCTCAGCCATTCCTCTTCAGTGCTCAGGAGTCTTACCTTGGAGGACTGTAACATCCAAGACACTCATATCAACATGTTGATTTTAGGTTTAAGCCCGTGTCAGAAACTACAGGAGTTTAAGTTCCTTGGAAACCCACTATCATCCCAAGCACTTAAACACCTTTTCACATTTCTCTGTGAGTTGCCAAAGCTGAAAAATGTGGAATTCCCAGTTCCAAGAGATTGCTACCCTATTGGCACCACCTACCCAATTGATGATGCCAGTCTCTGCAGATTTGATCACCAAAAATACGAAAGTGTAGCAAAGGAGCTTAACCTCATTTTACTCCAAGCAAATAGGGAGGATGTGAAGGCTTCAACTCCACTCTTTGGCAGTTATGACGCAATTGTTCAGGAGACAAACAATGAACTGGGAGCTTACTTGATCAAGTCCTTCAAAGAGACTTTAGAAAAGTTTACTACTTCTCTTAACAAAATGAGTTAACATAGTGGTGATGAGATAGTCTGTCAAACCACAAGTTAGTCTTTTCTAGAACCGCACCTTCATTGATCAGTCTTGCGTTTCATTTCTCAGATGAATTTACTTCTATTTGAATAGCCTCTGATCATCCGAGGTATTTTAACTATGCTGTATCTATTGCATACCACTTACTTGCTCTGAAAAGAGGGAGCAAGACATTTATCTTAATGTGTCTTCTTGCTTTATCGTTTTGTGCTCCAAGTAAGTTGCTGGACTGTATCTTCCAACTCCCAGCTACTGCTGCTTTTGTATCCTTTGCAAATTCTTCCCTGACGACTTACTCGGATGGTGTCTGCAATGTGGCAATGTACTCTAACCCTAATGAAAGCACAAACCCTAACCCTATCTAACCCTAGCCAAGTAACACTAACACAAAACATAAATCCTAACAATAACTCTACTCCTAATCTAACCTTAACCCAAATTTTTGGTGGCCCTTGGAGGTATCTGGGAGCTATCAGCGGTGTACCAGAGGCTTTTTCTGGTCACAGGTGCTCCTGGAGTGTTTTTTGAGGCACACCAAGGTTTCTGAGTGACTTTTTGTGCACACCAGGCTCAGACAAGTGCCTTTTGGTATGCCCATTGGACCCTCCATCTGTCTAGACTTGCATGTAAGGGCCCCTGGAAAGCCTTTGGTAGGCCTCAGGTGTCTCTTGGTTCTTATCCCTAATCCTACACAGAAAAATGCCAGGAGCCCTGTATGGAGAAACAAGTCAGTCCTGGCCAAAGTCAAACAAAAAAAGGAAGCACACAGAGGGTGCAAGCAAAGATGGGTAAGCTGAGAGGAATACAGAAACATTATCTGAGCAGCCAGGGAAGAAGCTAAGAAAACTGTAGCCCAAATGGAATTGAACCTGGCCAGGCCTGGACACATGTAAGTCCATTTGGGCTGTAGCTTTCCTGGACAGCAAGAAGGGCTTCTGTAAGTATTCAGGTGCCAAACAGAAGACTAAGGAAAATTGCTCATTGTGGCAGGGGACCTGGTTCCACAGGCCATGGAGCATAACCTAACACTCACCCATACCTGCACCCTTACCCTAGCTGGAGCACAGCTTCATAACTCACACCCAGAACCTCGGGCTCCAACACAGAAAGGCCAAGACTGAAAGCAGTTGCTGGTCCCCATCTTACCTTTGCAGCTCCTTCACAATCCCAACAATACAGAGGCTCTATGCTTGCACTACCACCAAATGCTAACTGCCACCTACTCCCACACCCTAGCCAGAACCCTAGTCCAAAAGAGAAAAACTTCCAGCGAGGACTCTCATGCAGAAGTGACAGACTGGAAGTTATTGGTGGCCCTCAACTTCCCTGGACAGCCCCCGACAGACCCACCAACACTGTGACTCTGCACTTGCTCTACAACCTAAGTCTCACCCGCAGCTAAAAGCTCGCCCTCAACAGAGCCCAGCTCCAAGGAGGACAACCACCATGCAAGAATCCCCAATAGGAGTGGCCAGGACTTAAAGGTGTTTGTAGTTCTCAATTCTCTTTTGCAGCCCCTTCACGGCCCACCAACATGGGGGCTCTGTGTTTGCCCTACCCCCGAACCCTCTGTCATGCTCCCTTTGCATCTTTCAGATTTACAGCTGCTATTTAAACTTTATTTACTGAGCTAATTAAGAAATACAACAAAAAGGCAGGACAAATGGGGGTTCAATCCCCTTTTGCCCCAATGAGCCTAGCACATGAATTCACCTACTTACCATTCAAGTCAAAGGCTTTCATCACTTATAACCCATAACTCTTTAATATCATGCATCTATGAGCAAAACCCAAAGGAATTATGTGCCTAGCCAACATAAGAGTGCTCATCCTTTGACCTCCATAACGGTGCAGGTGTCTCTTGGGTCACACCAGGAAGCAGGAAAGCCTCAGGAGTCCAGCTTCTGTTGGATCTACTTCAAAATCTTTTCTGGGGAAGATGATCTTTTATACCTTCCAGCTCTGAAGTTTGGTCTGTACAATTTCCGTAAGTTAGTGGATTCTGATGACACTGTCAGAGAAAACAGACAGACTTTCTGCAGGAAGCAGCAATTTTGCAGGAGGCAATGATTGCATAATGGCTCTTTAGCTCTGTCTGGCCACCTGTTCTGCCTATGTGATTCTGCTGCTTTGACTTAGTGGCACTGCTGTCAGCATCCATCAGGCCTCAGCATGACCTGGCTTAACCAAAATCTAAGCAGGATTTGAGTGAACAGTCACACCCTTTTCCTCACACTCACAAGAGCCCAGCTCCAAAATGGACACCCACCACCTAGAGCTCCACCACCCACAACATGACAGCCCCATCAACACAGGGGCTCTACCACCTAACGTTCTGTCACATCCCTTCACATCTCTCAAATTTACAGGGCAATGTACTCTGCAATTTCAACTTTACTTCATGAGTTTATTAAGAACAACAAAGCAGCAGGATAAACAGGGGCATGATCTTATTTTGCCGAGGAGGAGGAGGAGGAGACAAAAGGAAAAGAAAACAAAAAACCCCCAAATTGGTTAGCTAGCCAACAGTGAGAGTACTCATCCTTCCACTTCCTTCACAAAAGTCTTCTGCTGTATGACCTGGGGAAGCATGAAAGCCTCAGGAGTCCAACTGCTGTTAGAGCTGCTTCAAAATCTTTCCAGGTAAGCTGAATAGTTGCACAAATTCCCTTTATTTCTTTCTCACAAGATCATTATGAAATATAACAAAGCAGCACCACAAACAGGGACTCAATCGCCCTTTGCCCAGGCCAGTCTCGCACATGAATTCACTTATTGCCCGTTCAAAACTTATAACCCATGAGGCTTAGTATTATGCATTTATGAGGAGAAAAAAAAAATCAGGTACCTATTTAAAGGTGAGAATACTCATCCTTACTCTTCCTTCACAATGCAGGTGTCCCCTGGTTCACAAGGGGAAGCATGAAAGGCTCTGGAGTCCAGCTCCTATTTGAGCTACTTCAAAAGCTGTCAGTGTAAACTGGCATTTTATACCTTCCAGCTTTGAGGTCTTTGATCTTTACCTATGGTCAGAAGGCAGCAGATTCTGACCTAACTTCCTGACCAATATAATAGCTGCTGGAGACAGCAATTTGTAGGTGAGAGCAGCTGTGTAATTTCCCTTCAGCTCTTTCTCATAAGCTCATTAAGAAATACAACAAAGCAGTAGCACAAACAGGAACTCAGCCCTCTTTTGCCCAGACAGGGTTTCATAGCTTATAACATGTAACAGTGTGCTAGTTTTGGCTGGAACAGAGTTCATTTTCTTCACAGCAGCTAGTATGGGGCTATGTTTTAGATTTGTGCTGGAAACAGTGTTGACAACACAGGGATGTTTTCATTATTGCTGAGCAGGGCTTTCACAGAGTCAAGGTCTTTTCTGCTCCTCCTACCGCCCCCATCTGCAAGTAGGCCGAGGGTGCTGTCCTAGCTTTAACATGGCAGGCGGCTAAACCCACACTCACTCACCCTCCCTTGCCAGGGAATGGGGTAAGGAGATTGGTGGGTTGAGATAAAAAACAATTTAATAATTGAAATAAAATAGAATCATACAATGGTTTGGGTTGGAAGGGACCTTAAAGATCATCTAGTTCCAATCCCCCTGCCATCAGCAGGGACACCTTCCACTAGACCAGGTTGCTCAAAGCCTCATCCAGCCTGGCCTTCAACACTTCCAGGGAGGGGGCATCCACAACTTCCTTGCGCAGCCTGTTCCAGCGTCTCACCACCCTCACAGTGAAGAACTTCTTCCTAATATCTAATCTAAACCTACTCTCTTCCAGTTTAAACCCATTTCCCCTTGTTTTGTCATTAACTGCCCTTATGAAAAGTCCTTATTAAAATAATAATAGTGATTATATTAATAATGATAATAGACTATACAAACAAGTGGTGCATAGTACAACTGCTCATCACCCGCTGACCAATGCCCAGCCTGTCCCTGGCTAGCAATCCTGGAGGAAAGAAATCCCAAAACCACCACACCAGAAGAGCCAGCACTTCCCAGTCCATCCTCATCTATATACTGAGCATGACATTACATGATATGGAATTTTCCATTGGACAATTTGGATTTGGGGTTAGAGTTAATGTTAGGATTAGGGCTAGGAGTGATGGTTTGAGGTTTGGGTTTGTGGGTTAGAGTTAGGGTTAGTGTTAAGAGTTAGAGGTGCGGGGTTGGAGGTTAGGGTTAGAATTTAGGGGTTAGTGGTTCAGGATTGTGCGTGTTAACAAATTACAGTCAGGCTGTAAACCCTCTCCACCAAGTAGAAGCAAAGTGTGGCCTGCCTTCTGGCGCCCAATGTGAGACTTGAGGGGTTGAGGTAATGACAGCTCTGATCAGCATTTATTAAAACAAATACATTATTGTATTAGTTTAATAGTCACGGGTCACAGTGTTGATTTATTTCCTTTTAGATCTGTTATTAGAGCTGTGGAATGTAACACCTCATTTGCTCCTTTTTACACTGGCTATCAATTCTGCAGTTCCAATCAGGGGTATAATTCGGCTGTACTGTTTAACAGTGACTTTGAGAATAGCCCAGTATTTGTATTCAGTATTTCCATCACCTTTGTACTTCGGGAGCCATGTTCTAGACACTATTAAGAATTACACTGTTTACCTTTTCTTCCTGGGGAGCCAACCTATTGGGAGAACATCTCTGTACTTCGGGTGCCATCTCCTGGAGATTATTAATAATTACACTTTTAACCTTTTCTCCTCAGGAAGACAAACCTGTGGTGAAGACATCTCTGTACTTCAGGTTCCACCTGCTGGAGACTATTAAATAATGACACTTCTTACCTTTTCTCTTCGGGGAGTCAATTTGCAAAGGGAACCGCTTCTCACAATTTCCCCTTCTCCACTAGGCCAATTACAAGAGCATTTAAGATTTTAAATATCCTTGAGATGTTCAAACCAGCTTGCTCTGATTAGGTTAGGTTTAGGATTTTGTGTTAGGGTTAGGGGGTAAGGTCAGAGTTAGGGTTAACGTCCAGGTTAGGACTAGGGTTAGGTTTAGGGTCAGGATTGCTGTTAGGTTTATTAAGGTTAGCGTTAGGGTTACGTTTAGGGCACCATTAAAGTTCAGAGCACCACTAGGATTAAAGTTAGTGTTAGGGTTCAGTATTAGGGTTAAGGTTAGGATTATGGTTAAAGTTTTTAGGGTTAGGATCACTAGGTTTAGGGTGAGGACTGGGATTAGTGTCATTAGGGTTAGGGCTCCATTACTGTTATGTTTATATTTTGGGCACCATTGGGGTTAGGGGTTACTGTTAGTGTTAGGTTTAGGGGTCAATGTATATGGTTAGGGGTAGAGTTTATAGTCAGTTTTGTGGTTAGGGTAATTGTTAAGGTCATATTAATCAGGGATAGAGTTACAGTTAAATTTAAAGATTAATGTTAAGGCCTGGTTATTAAGGTTTAGGGTTAGGTTTTGGATAAGGGTTAGGGCACCAGTAGTTTGGGTTAGCATTGGGTTAGGTTTAGGGCACCATTATAATTAAGGTTAGGGTTCCTGTAAGGATTAGGGTTAGGGTCATTAGGGTAAAGTCAGGGATAGAGTTAAATTTAGAGATTATGGCTAGAGTTAAGGTTACAGCTAGGCTTACGTTATGGTCACTTTAGAGTTAGGAATAGAGTTAGGTTTAAGGTCAGGACACCATTAGGGTTAAAATCATAAGAGTTAGGGCTAGGCACAGAGTTAGGGTCATTATTGTTAGGGTTTGGATTCGGATTTGAGTCACTGGTGTTAGGGTTAGGGTTTTCGGTTAGTGTTAAGAGTTATGGTCGTTAAGGTTAGGGTTATTATTAGTGTAGGGTTACAGGTTTGGGTTAGGGTTTAGAGTTAAATTTGGTGGTTAGGGTGAGGTTTACAGTTAGAGGTTAAGGTCAAGTTAAGTTTAGGGTTAGGGGTTAATGTTAGGGTGAATTTTAGGTTTAGGGTTAAGTTTAGGGTTATATATAAGGTTAAGAGCCATGCATGTATACGGTTAGGCTTACAATTATTGTGGTTAGATTTGGATATAGGGTTGTTTTTAAGTTTTTAAAGGTTAGTGTTAAGGATATGGTTAATGTTAGGGTTAAGTTTAGGGTTAGCACTGATGTTATGGTTAGGGCCTAGATTTGCATTTAGGGTTAGAGTTAGAGCCTCAAGTTAGTGTTAGGGCCTTGGGTTAGTGTCATGGGTTAGGGTCTCTGCTTAGGCTTGGGCCTATTTGTGTTAGTGGTTATGTTTAAATCCAGGGTTAGTTAAAACCAACAGAGACAGGTTATAAGCTATTAAACCTTATGACTGGAATGGGGAATAACTTATTTCACATTGCAAAGTTGTCTGGACGAAAGGGGACTGAGCCCCTGTTTACGGTGCTGCTTTGTTGTGTATCACAGGGAGCTCAGGGGAAAGGCAGCTGGAGGCAGTTATGCGGCTACTATCACCTGCAAATGGCTCTCTCCAGGAGCCCCTGTACATGTCAGGAAGTTAGGTCAGGATCCCCTAACTTATGGTAGCAATAGGTACAGACCAAACCTCAGAGCTGGAAAGTATAAAAAAAAGTCAGCTTACCCAGAAAGCTTTTGAGGTGGATCCAACAGCAGCTGGACTCCTCACAAGGCCTTCAGGCTTCCTGATGTGACCCAGGGGATGCCCATGCTGTGAAGGAAGGAGAGGTATGTATGTATTACATGTATGTATTATATTAATATATAATTAAATACATATTAATTAAATGCTATATTAAATACATAGGAGTTATGGAGCCTCAGTTTGTGTGATATTGTTGCCTGTGCACTGTTGTAGTATCAGCTGGCACCTGTTGTTCTCCAAAAGCCGTTCAGAGCACGCCAGAGGAATCCAATTCCATTTCTCTTCTCCCCAGTGGCCTGAGAACGCCTTTCCATGCGCTTCTTGATATGCCGTGCATCAAAACACGGGGATTGGTAATGGCTGCTTTCAGCTTTTGCTCTTTACAGCTTTGTTTTGCTTTGCCTGAGAGAGCTACGATAACAACATTGGCCTTAAGCCTAGTCAAGTATTGGGTCCTGCGCCCCTGCTGTCCCAGTCTGAGCAACAGAGATGTTGCTTGTATTATAAAATAATAGTTCATGTATGTTTAAATAAAACCATTCTTTTTAGAGTAGAACAGTTTTTGATACCCAAATACTTCAGGTCTTAAAAAACATTTATAAAACTGAACAGTGTCCAAAAAGGGGCAGAATTCAGACAGAATCAAAAAGTTTCTACTGAGAACCTAAACAAATTGTTCAACAATTTAAAATGAAAAGCAATAAGAGTTTGTTCAGTTCAGAAAAGCAGATTTTAATTTTAAACAGCAGCACATACATTTTGAAAATATAAATATTTGAAAACAAGAGACTGCACTTCATTAATCAACTTGCTGTGGTTTAGAAATTGCTACAATTATATTTGCAACCAGGTGGAATTACTGCATCATAGGCTTCCTATGGGTTTGATGCTCTTAGATTTCACTGGTATCATTGTGCAATATGCTAGTAGCACATGAAAACAAACAAACAAACAAAAAAACCCCTGAAAAAAACAAACCAAAACAAAAAACTAAACTTGTCAATTTACTACTACTGTCAACTGGAGGCTTCAGCTACCTGACTAAGTATTTTAAATAGAGGCATGTTATTTAAAACAAGTGTGGCAAATCATGAACTTCAGGGAAACAATTTATGCAAATAATATAAAAATTTGAGTGGTCATATACATTTCTGAATGAAGTTTCCTGAACCAGGACTAATCCCAACAGGAGCAATATAGCAGCATTTTGGTAAGGGAGGAAGCCAAGTTTTCCTAAAACCTTTCCCTTTTATTTAGAAGCAGAACAAAGATTAAGAACATCAAAAATTGCTTACCTTTCTGTATGTTTAAAAATACCATTGCATTACCATTTCTCGTGTTTCACCAGTTTAACAAGAGTCCAAATATGCTACATATAAATATCCTAATCCATCCACCATTTATCAAGTCACTACAGAAATATTTTCTACATAAATCTATCTTCTTAAAATATAATTTAAATATAACTTTTTAATAGAAAAAACAGGATGCATCATCAGAAGATTCAGCTTGCAGGTAATTTTCAACGCACTAGAACTCTTAATGAAGCTGCTCAAATTATGGCAAACATCTTTTTTTTTTCCTTTTTTTGGGGGGCGGGGACAGTGGGGGAGGCGAGTGGTAATGGGAAGAGGCCATGTGTCGAACAAAATGTGCAAAAATGTTAAGAATAAATGGTGATCACTTCACGTCCACTGCCTCGGACCAGGAGAACTCTATCCAGACCTTCTGTCAGAACTTCCAAAAACTCCATGTCTGAGGTATCATTAAGTCAAGGAATTCATTCAGAAAAGAAATAAAGTAGCTGCTAATCTCTCAAAAAATCTGACATACCATTCTGTGATTCTGTGTGATTCTGTGATATAATATGCAAAAATAAAGTTCAACAATTTCATCAAGGAAATTTCCTGTGTCACCCTTTGCTGTCCCATTATGTAATCCACTTGCTTGCTCAAGTGGAAGCGAGGCCCAATTTGGGGGAAATTTCTAGTTCTGCCCTACTCACCTACAGAAAAGATAAAACCAGAGATTTTAAGATAAGTTCAAAATTAAGGAATGGTTCATTATCAATTCAATTTAAAAAAACCCAAAACAAACAAAAACCAAAAACCTGCACCACTATCAACATTTCTTAAAACTGTTTGTGGCATCAAAAGTCATTTTCTTAAAGACAGACTTATGTTTACCATGATCACTAATGGTTATCACAAGTAAACAACAGCATAGTCACAAAAATCAAACTCTCAATTTCAAAATATACAGAAGCAATATAGTAGAGGATACAGTTTTCATCTCCTTTTCTGTTTTTAGGAGGTCCAGGCATATTCAGAAGAACTAGCTGAGCATGCTGTGATTTATTAAGCACTACTCCATTGAGCTTCACAGCAGTGTGCATTCTTCTCACATTTGACTGATTCCTAGCATACAAACAAATCTTTTTAAGGATTATAATTCAAATAAATAAGTATTGTAACATGTTATGCATGTGAATTTATAAATTTAATCTATATGCACATAGAATAAGCTATTTGCATGGACACCAGCGTTTGTACACATTCAAAATAAATTTGAGAAAATGGAATACCTCAGTTTAAAAGATTATTTTTTTCCCTTTGAAAAGAACATTTAACTCTGAAATTCAAGCAATTCTGAACAGATTGCCAAAGCGTACAAGTCTTCCAATTGTCAGTCGGCTTTTACAAAGACAAAGCAAAAACATAATTTCTATATAAATTAGGTTTAGTCAAAACCACCGAGAATCCAGTTTATTGAATTATATAAAAAAGTAAATGGATTTGTACAAAAAATTCCAAAGAAAGAAGTTACAGGAATGCAATGGAAAGATTACGATATGCATGTTGTACAGTACAAGACTGCCCTCATGCTCCTTTGGAAACTTTACAAGATTACTATAAGCCTAGTGAAGGAAACTCAAAACCAGTATAGAATTTATGAAAAAATTACTAATTTCTCATGTCATAGGAGTAAGGCAGTAAGCAACGAACTGAAATTGAGCCTCTCTCTTTGCATTATCATTATTAACTTCAACTTAACAAGCTTTGCATCCACAAATATAATTGCTGTAAATTTGTGCACAAGAAGAAGAAACTACTAGGACTTCAGAGATTTCCCTATTTTAGGATCAATCTTGGATGATTTAGCTGCTCTTCAGAACAAAACAAAAGAACAGGTTCCTTATAGTTCCTGAGAAATCATCTCAAATCAAACTAGCCGAGACTGGAAATGAGTCATATACTGCAGTGCAACAGAAATATCCTGACTCTACCTAAGCCCATTTCTCCAGAAGATCCACTGCCCAAAAATAAATTCTTAACAAGTGAAGCAAGTTGCTGCAAAGGGAACCTCAGAAATACAGCACATCTCAAGAATGGAGATACTGGTATACTGATAAAAGACACTTCTATCACTAGAAAACTAATTATTACACTGGTGCAGATGAGTACTGTCAAGTTTTACATTTTATAGAAACTAAAATACTGCTCTGTGACTTACCGTGAATGGAAAGTTGATAAATTTGGAAGAAAACATTAACAAGTCAGGGTGAAGAATATTTTTCAGTGATAAATGCTAAATCACAGTATATAAAACAAGGTACAAAAGAATACATGCATGGCAAATCATGACTTAGGAAACATGCATACAATGTACAAGACAAGAAGAACCAGGGAACACAGCCTATGTTGCTTAAGTGAAATGAGATTTAGACTTACAGATTTCCCCATTCTCTACATGGAAGAGAAGCAAATGTACAGGGAAAAAAAAATTATGCCATCAGGTACATTTTTAATTCAACAATATTAATATATTGTACAGGCATACCAAGTTTGAACTGCAATTTCCACCCAAAACAACATATAGTAGTTTTAAAATAATATCTGAAGTCTGCACCTTGCACAATTCTAAATAGGAAATATTTCCAAGAAGTCAACAACAAAAAAACTTCCCTAAGAATTATAATAAAATGCAGCCCAGCCCAGAACAAAAACATTGCTTTAGATTGTGAGCAAGATGATATTTGGAATTTGCAGAAGGCAAACTGTTTCTAAAGAGCTCAGAGAAAATCCACAAAAATAATTTAAGATTTTAAGGTGCTGATTCTAAGTCTACCTTCTTAACTCTACTGTCTACAAGTCCTAGATTTAAGATATGTTTCCGTTAGATATTAAAATTCCCCTTGATACTCACAATTTTGCTCTGGGCATATGCAGAAAACGGTCTAGGCCATGCTTATAACTGCATTCTTCCAGAACTCAGAAAAGATGCATGTGTGCTTGAAATCGCAACACGAGGAAGCAAACAAGCACATGTCTTTCTGTCATTGGTTTTGTGTCTAGTGACACAGTCAGTACATTAGCTCTTATAAATTAGGTTACTTCTATTTAAGAAAAACACATTAACAAATATTTCAACAGGAAATATTTAATATAACAAGACTTTTTATATAAGCATAAATTTCATGTTACCTAATTTACAAGATGAGGGCTGAATGTCCATTTAAAAAAAACCTTAAAAACCAAAAGCTAACAACAACAAAAAAACCCTCTCCACCTAAAAACCAAAACATAAGCTAAATGTCTTGAAAGAGTTATCTGCTTCTTTGGTACTCCTGCCACCCCAACAAAACACAATAAATGAGAAAAGGAAGTGATATACAGTAATTTGCTACCTACAGGAAGGGAGAAGAGCAAAAGTTATTAAGCATTTTAATATATATGCTTTCTGGTACAATTCAGAGGCTGAGTTTACAGCTTGAAGTCTGTCATATTTAGGCTTCATTCCCAACATTCTTGTGAATGTCACTTCACAGTCATTGTTCCATCCAAGTCCATGTTAGTTTCATAAGGATGGCATTTAAGTGAAGTACATGGAAAGATCATGTTTGTCCTCAACTTTAAATAAACCAGAAGCTCTTAAACCACAAAATCCAGAACAACAACAACAAAAGAAACAAACAGCCATCCACACACTAAAATACACCCAATGAAATAGAAAACTCCAAACACTACATGTATACTTACGGCTTCATGTTGAAAATATCTTTAAAGCCAGACACATTCGAATCTTTGTTTTTATGCTTTTCAGCTACAAACTTTTCTTTAGTCCAGGTCATTTGCACTTTTTCCGGCACAGCAGTAGCCACGCTTGCTTTGACCACTGGAGCTGAGTGTGAAGCAGTGTTTCTGTCATGGATTAGCTGAGCCTGGCCATAAAACAAACAAGCACCCCAAGATTCAGCAAAAAAAAAAAAAAAAACATTTCTAGATTATATGCTATAAAAATTTTGAAAAGGAATTTCACAGCAGTGGAACAAAATAAGATACAGAAAAATGCACCTTATTTTGTAAACAGACTGTACCAGACTGTTTTGACTGCAGCATGAAATGAAACTGATTGTAATAATGTAGTTATTTGTTTGTATTTGCAGGATTAGATCTAGGCTGGGACAGTGGTTTTGTAATGAACTGAATACAGCCCGAGAGCACTCTATTAAACACCAGGGTTTTTGCCAGGGACAAACCTGAAAGCCCGTGCTCTCCTCCTCCACCAGGGACACTGTTATTTTCTCAGATACTGTCATAACCACTGTCCATTTCACATGCCTTTGCTGAACTACAGCACAAGTTTGGACTGGCTGAATTGAAGGCCAGCTGCTACTTCCATTAGATTATTTATGCATACAAGTACATATTATCTGACAAAATCCAATCAATTTAACCATGAAGGGGCCTTCTCTTCCCTTGTAATAGCAGAAACTGAGATCACACCTTTAAGAACACAACACTGTGGTTCCCACATGCATATGCACTTCTGTGTTCTCTATTTCCCATTTCCCCTCGCTCCTCTTGAGGAGAGAAGGAAGAGATGTTTAATACGTTATTTATTTACTTACTTTCCCTCATAATACTTTGTCCATAGGCTTCTGTATTTCCATCAAAAACAACAAAAATACAGTACTTTAGACTCTTAAAATAATAAGTGAATTGGTATGGGAAGAGGACTGATTTTGTGTTTCAGGGTGTTCTGTTTTGGGGGTAGGGGGGACTGTTGTTAAATCATGAGTTGAAGCTCCTGTTCCATTTGGGAACCTCAATTATTCACATGTTAGTGATGGTCATGTCCCTCCATATATATGATGGCTCAGAAGAATCAGTTTCATGCAGGTTACAATAAAAAAGGTGAGTAAAATCAAAGCAGATGAGAAGACTACTTTCTGTCTCTGAACAGTGATTCCCTTAGTGGCTGACAAACTGTAACTGCAGCTGGTTTTAAATGCCTAAGAGCTTCTGTACTTTTCCTAAATTATTTACCTATCCTTGAGGATTCTGAAATCCTAGAGTTCAATTCTGAGGTTCACGTAAGTATCTATTTGTTTCAAAGTCTTCATATCTCCTCAAAAGACCAAATCATGAGTCAAGACTACAAATCAGAAGTTACTGTGAATATAGTTCTATCACGAGAATGGAAAAAGCTAACAAATACATGCAGATACTATAAATGCCATACAGCAGTACCAAATGAACTAAAACTTCAAGCTAACAACTGTAAGGTGAGTTTGGTACAACTATGCTTCCATGGAAGAAAGTTCATCATTTTTAGAAAGTCACTGAAGCCAAGAGAAATTCTGGACATGCTCACAAAAATGCAAAGACAACAAAAGTACATTTTTATTAGTGCTATTATGACACCAAATTAATTACATGGAATACAACACATTCTTCTCATACTTCATGAAGAAAGGGAAACACAAAGGTTTACAGCATTTTTACAAGCTAGGCTACACATCTTTAGATATGAGCAACACTTCAAGTGCACACTAAAACCATTTCTTACATCAGTCCACTTCCTTTCAAACTCAGCATGCAGAAAGTAATGATGACACTTATGGATTAATAACGGCCTGTCAATAAGGATAGAAATCTCTTTTACAAGCCCTAGTATATCTCTACAGTCTCTGAGAAGCTTCAGTACTTCAAAACAGAAACTATAAAGGAAGGCAATGCTTTGTGAAAGCATGAAATATGCTTATTAATGAAACACCTACTATTAAGACTTTTTAAGAGCTAGAAAGCAAAGAAGTACCTTTGCTTCTGGCTCTTAAGAAAAACAGGCACTCTCAGAAATGTGTGTTTCTTTTATCAAAAAGAAATGTGAGAAAAATACGATGTAGCTCATGTCGCAGAAGCATCACCTAGAGCAAAAAAAATAGGGCAAGATAATGAATTTAGAAAAATAGTGTAATAAAAGTTTATGAGGAACTGTTCCATAACAATGAATGATCAAGTTGTTCTTTTGTAGTTCAGTCTGCAACAGTGGCACTTCAAGTGTTGCAATGGGAAAATATATCTAGCCAGTACTATGTCCGACTACCTCCTCTCGATAATCATTAGTTAGCAGTGCTTGTGCATCTTGGCCAACTGTGGACTGTGGACTGGAGTAACTTTTTCTTCTGATTGAGCCTCGAGACTCATCAGTGATGCTCTGAATCTGGGACAAAAAAGGTTACCAATGACCAAAAAAAAAAAAAAAAAAACAAAAGCAGATGATCATATTGTTCAAAATAAAAATTGCCTTAATTTAAATGGATAAGATTTGGTATCATGGCTTATTTATAAATTTAGTTTGTTTTCACAAACATGTAATTTGTTTATATACACACTATGAGGCTCTTTTTGAAATGCTTAGCAGTTAGTTATGAAGTCTCTATACACAGATTCATGAAAACACGAAGTGAATTGAATCCCTTAATCTATATGGGAACCTCAAATACTCACTTGTTTGGGAGTGTTACATCCCTTCACATATGTGATGATTCAGATGAACTGATTTTATTCAGTTACAATCAAAAGTATGAAAAAAAAATTAAGCAGATAAAGCTGCTTCCAACTCTAAACACTGGTTTATTTCCCAATGATTCATGAACTATAACTGTGCTCCTCACTTATCTGCACCCACATTTCTGCCGATCTTACCTAGCAGCAGCAACCTGCCCAACAGCATTCATGAAGCACAACTCAACACAAAGTAGAGGTGGGATGGAAGACTGCTTTCTCACAGTGCCAACAATAGCGCTGCTTGGCCCAACAGTCATTAGTCAGCACTAGCCAGAGAAGGAAGCCAACAACCACCAGGAAGGGCAGCAAGGAAGGTTCTATGTTTTCTTCCATCTTTGTAGTGCTACTGTCAAGGTCAAATAAATAAATAATTGGCAGTTGCACCTAAGTCTGCAGATCTTAGCCTTTGCAGGCAAATGTTATATTTACACTTGAATAGAAGCAAATCAACCAAGTTTCTTAAAAAGAGCAACAAAAATCCGATGAATCCCCATGCCCTAGTTCCCCAAGAAAACCCGGGGGCAAGATCAAATAAAGTTCCATTTTAAAAAGTGAGAGAAGAGGGGACAGGGAGGGTGATTCCTAAGAGCTTGCCTATGAGGGAAATGGTAAAAGAACGCTGTACAAAAACAAACTGTTCTCTTTGCAAAGGTTTGAACCTTGTTTGAAGAGGTACAAGCACAAAAGTGAGGTTAAAATACTAACCTTGGTGGTAACAGGAAGCAAAACTGTAAGTTTTGTTATAAAGCTGGAAAATCAGGGTTATATTTGAATGTCCGGAGACAGATAATGAAAACAAAAGCAATGCTAATTTTAACTAGTGATTTAACTAATGAGACCAATGTTTTGGAGATCATCACAAAACTGGAGGGGATGACTCACGTCACCATTAATCTGAAGGTGATCAGATTAAGAAAGGGCCTGGGACACTGAGTGCATATACTCAATGTATAGCTCCAGAGGAAGTGAAGTTACAACTAAACAACATTTTCTGATGAAAATGCAAAGGAACAAGGTAGATTAATCAGAAACAACAGATGGATATGGCTTTTATTCTTGGACAAGGCAGGGAATTAAGTACTAGATGTTCTTGGAATTGTCAAGGATTTTACTTCAGACCATGACATATATTCAATGGTATTTTGAACATCTCGGATTTTACCCTGCAAGATATGAAGGAACAAACTGAACCTATAATGGTGACAGTTTCATTAAGATAAGAGTAACTAGAAAAAAAAAAAAAAAAAAAAAAAGAAAAAAGAAAAAAAAAAAAAAAACCAAAAAAACCACACAACCAAACATGGAGAAGGAGAAGAAACAAATTAGAACTTCCAAGCAAACAACAATATGAAGTAGTGCAAATTCCAATCAACTCACAGAGCTGAGAAGAAATTATTTTGTCTCCACTACAATTTATATGCCATAGACTACAGAGCCTTATGTCCTTGGGCTACTTGTAAAGCACTCATGAGGAAGTTAAATACTGAAAAGCCTACTGTAGATAGATTAATCACTCCAACTCCACTGGAAAAATACTAGCCTTCAATAGAGAAATGAGAAAAGCTTGAAAACACTGAGTAAAGAATACAGGAGAGCTTTTTTACTGAAAATATGTTAGGCAGGCTCAGATTAAAAGAAAGTTACAGTGATGCAGATGAGAAGAAAGAGAACTTACTGGAGCACATTACTGTAGCAATGCAAGGCATATTTAGGAACCTTAAAAAAATCCCGTGAATTAGGAAAAGAAAAAAAAAAAAAGAGAAAAAAAAAAAAAAAAAAAAAAAAAAAAAAAAAAAAAAAAAAAACCAAAAAACTGCACGGACTTGCAGGATTAACACCAAAAAGGCTTAGGCATAAAATGAACTACAATTATCAGTAGACCAAAAAAACTCAAGAAAAAAATTCAGTTATTTTACAAATGAGCAGTTAAACACAGTAGAGATCTCTTATTTGGCATGGGAGGGAAATCACTATAAGTCATAGCAAAGCCAAAGCATTTAATACCTTTTAAGTCTCTAAAAAGTGTCAATAATAATGGGACAGTTAACAGAATAAATGAGGGTGTAGAAACACAAGCCAAAAGGAAAAGATTTTAAAGTTAAAAATATACACAAAAATACAGCTGCCTGCAGCTTGTCACTACAATATGCAAAATACTAGAGACTACTAAAAGTAGGGGAGCAGCAAACGTGCATTCTCATCTGGATATCATAGGATTATAGGTTAGTCAGCCTAATTTCAGCTCCGGAAACAACAGTTGATCCATGAAACAGTTAAAATAATGCTAAAACTAAAAAGCAGTCAGTGTGAATTGAACAAGACCAAGTCACAAACAAAGCTAATCAACCCAGTTAAATAATCATGAGCTTTAGCTACTGATATATGTCAAGTCTGGAAATGCTCTGGATATATTCCACACTGATGCTCATGTTTTGCTAGTAAATACTGACACTAATCTTAAGAACAGGAAAACTCTAAGCATCTGTTCAAACAAAAAGGATTTTTTCCTCCCCTACACATTATTTTAACCTTGCAAGTGAAACCTGCTGCAGAGAAGCTAACGTAGAATGTAGTTAGAAAACCTTTGGACCAGTTAGAAGCCATGGCCAAGAAATATTACTTTCAGCTTTTTCACAGAACATCTTGCCAAGTCGAAGTCCCTACCTCTCTTTCAATCATTCTTCGATAACTGCATCTGTTTTAGCATCTGAGATCGCTGTTCCATCATAAGTGTCTTCTCATATGTGAATGCAGAAATATCGTTCTCAAACTGCAAAAGAGATTGAATTAGAAGCATTAGAAGAAAAGTACCACTCAAAAGAACAATGTTTAGACAGTATACCACATTAATTCCTGCATTCATTCAGTCCTGGATGTATTTATGGCATTATAGTAATCTCAAGTGTATAGTTGACCAATCATTTCTGTCCTCATTCTTAAAACTTCATCTTCAGACAGCAATCTCATGCTATGAACTATCCCCTACTATACCAATATCAATGTGATTTTTATCTAAGTTTGAGGTACTTAAGACTGACTTTCCATTGTTCTGTTCCAACTAAGCTGTAGAAATGAGAAAGGGTTGAAAGTGCTTATTTAAACTAGGTCTGCACTGCTGCCTCCTGAGCACGTGTGCACACTTGTTTCCTAACAAACTGTCTAAAGCCACAAAATAACATTGTCCTTTCACCAGTGAAAAATGTTCACAAATAGAAGCAACTCTGATATATATTCTCATATCAGCTCAAAGCTAAAATAGAGCATAAAAATCTGTAGCAGTCATCTGCATTGTCACTGACTCATAATGTGTCTCTTAATCTTTCAGAAGATTCTCAGCATTAAATAAGACCCACATAAGAAAAGAATAAATTGTGCTTCCTATACTATCTTGTGCTCAAAATCCAACCAAGGCTGAGCCTTTTTTTAGGGCACTCTGTTAATCATCTTTCACCTGCACATGCCACAGCATTTTAATCTTTTATATTCAGTACTGTAAACAAAACAAAATTAAATAAATAAATTTATTTCTCTTACTCCCTAGTTCAAAATACTAACTATATTTTTCATATGACATTTTTTTCCATAAGTAACTTAAACAATTCTTAAAATTTATCAGGTTAATAAGCCATAAAGCAAATCTTTTTCATAGGTTTTATCCACTCCAGAAAACTGAACTGCTTGTAGTACACATTTTGAACCAGTGGACCCATCTTTATCCCACTTCAGAATGAGTTTAAAAGATTGTCTGGGGTTTTCTGTGGGGTTTTTGTTTGTTTGTTTTGAGGGTTTTTTTGGTCCCCCTCCTCCTTACTTTGGACATTATGCCAGTCACCCTTAAGTGCTGGAAATCAGGTTTTTCCTTAATTGTCAAAAAAACCCCAGGTCTAGCCAGACTACAGCTTTAGTCCTCTCTCTTCAGCAGTTTACAATGACTATTTAAAAAGGGAAAAAGTTACAAAATTAATTTTGTCACTATTTGACTTGTGGCCTAGGGATTCCTTATTCCAGAGAGGGATTCATACAGCAGTATGAGAGATGGACATTTTAATCCTTTCTCATGCTAAATGTCACGGATTATCAGATTAGCATATTCAGCCTTCCATTTCACTGCCTGCTAAAAATTCAAGCTTTTTCTTTCCTGAATGAATGTATCTCTATGGACCAGTCCTCATAAATACAGCAGGCATTAACACAATCAAAATGGCTCAACTCTACTTGACAAAGCCATTAAACTCACTACCACATACGCTAGACACTGATGAGGTAAAATAGTGTTGCTTTAAAAAAACTTCTTGTTCTTGGTGGGAGTGTAACCTTTCCCCTTTTAGATCTCTCATTTTCAAAAATGCTAAATCCATTTTCCCAAGTTTAGTCTCAACTGCACCTAAAAAAAATATGCAGTAACATACCATTTCAACAACTTCCACTTCAGCATTCAGTCTAAGATGATATAAGAACATCTGAAGATCCTTCTTCATTTGAATGCTATTATCATCCATTTGAGCGACGGTGAAGATACGCATTTTACATTTTCTCCAAACCTATCAAAAACATGCATTATAACAATTCACAGCACAGCAATTGCTATCACCATGCACAGCTCTATCAAGGTGAAAGAGTATTTCATTAGAAACTTAGAACTATTCATTGCTAGAAAATGAAATCCCAGCCATTTTGCTGTTGTTCTTGCCTTGTGCTGTCGAAGGAGAAAAGGCAGTAACATCAGCATACCACCATCATGAACAATCCACCACACATCTATATTTCCTTCAGAAAACCGTTCTTGATTTGTTGGAAATAAGTCAATGTTTTTAGCCACCAACAGTGCTTGCTGAGCTGCTGTTGTTTCTCGTACAGTGTCTGCAAGGGAAAACAAGGCATTTGATCGAGAACTTCTATTTGTCATTCACAGCTTTGTTTTTTGTTTTAAATTCAAGAGCTTAAATCCTCCCAGATTCTGCTGAGGTAAAAGTAGAACGTCCTGGGTTTAGTGACTAACCAGCTTAGAAGAACAAGAGAAGACATGGTTGAAGAGACTGAGGGCTGAGAAAACTCACTCCACATGAAATCAGATGTGGGGAAATATTCCGTTGTCCACTGGACAGCACCACATTTCTCCACAGAGCAAACACATTATTTACATAGGTGTATTACAAATGCATAGGAGAAAGTCCATAGATGCATACCAACAAAATTTTTCCATGAGAAACGATTTTCTGTCTGCTTCCATGACTGTGGCCATGCCATCAAAACTGTGTTGTGCTTCATCCCTCCTAGACCAGCTGACTGAATCAAATAGGATATTCCATCTCTGAAATTAGGAGACACCACAATCTGGCAAAATCCTTTAGTCTTTTCTACTCCCATTAAGGCCTTAACATTCTGCAAAAGGAACATTACATG